ATGACTTAACCGCCTTGGTTAAAATGTTGATTCCCAGTTATGATGATTTTGATACTGGTAGTTATAATGTTGTGACCGGACGGAATAATTTCATTACGACTCGGATTAACAATTTGTAACTAAGGCGGTTAAGTAATATGTTGACACCGGCGGTGTTGATTTGACAAATTTTTGTTTTGAGTGTATGAATAAAAGCTTATTTCTTTCGAGCGAATTAGTCGTATTTGAGTTTTATTTATGATTTCTGTCGTACCGAAAGTACCAATCACGCTTATAGGAAACTGCAGTACGCTGTTTACCAATCCTCTAAACCTCTAATTTTAATGATTTCGTCACTCTCTTAAACTTACCCAGGGATCTGTAAATTGGTCATTTTCATACACTGTCAATTTCAGCTGGGGCTTTTGTGTGGGTTTACTTGTAACCTAGGAAATTTGAATTTGTTTTGTATTTGATGATAAATATTTATAACAAACCTTGCATAAAATTCTATTTAATTTATTGCCGTGCATCGAAGTCAACCGGATGGATTTGATTTGAATTACGGCCCGCCTCCAATGTTAATAAAGTGGGCACGTGAGTTTGGCGGGTAGAAATTCTGTCCGATTGACTTCGGTGCATCGCAATATGTAGTTAGATCAAAACTCGCGACTATACTTCCTGTTCATGCGGGAACTTATAGGAAAATATCTCCGGAAACACGGGGTTCCATCAATTTCTTTCGTTATTGCCGTGCAGTTTGGTGCAGCTGACGAAACAATTTCCAGATGAAGATCTATAAAGTAGTTAACATTTTTGCTATTGAAAACCCAGAGCTAAGGGTTTTACGTGGGTTTTGCGGATAGTCAGGGTAGTTAGGGCTTTAGTGGAAAACTGAGCCACGACTTCATGCGTTCAGTGTTTCGTTTCTTGCGGGTTTTTCTTATTTTTTGCACTGCGAAGCAAGAAATGCAAGAAACGCAAGGTGCAAAAATTGCAAGAAAGTACAAGAAACACAGCGCCATCTAGCGACGCGCCTGCAGAACTATGGCGGCGGGAAGGAGTTTCTTGCACTTTGCATTTCTTGCGGGTAAAAATAGCTGCAAGAAACCAATTTCTTGTGGTTATTCCTTGCAGGTGGTTACTTGCACCCGAAACACTGCATTGAGTTCTGAAAACAGTCGGCATATTCAGCAATTTCGCAACAAACCTGTTTATTAGCTCAGGTTTAATAACTAATTAGATTCTAGGATTGTTAGTAGAGCCCTGTAATCATGCTTTATAAAATTTGAAAACCCCGACTACCCGTGGGTATTGCTCATTTTTGCTACCCAAAACCCGCAAAACACACCAAAAACCCGGGGTGGCATATCCTGTTAATAAAATTTAGTGCCTTCCTAAGCATGGACCTGGTTTGGTAAAGATGTCCGTGTCACCGGCATTGCTAGACGGAGGAGATTAATTTTTAACGTAGCTTTTTTTTCAAAATCAGCGTATGTATTGTACTTACTGAATTTCGAAACGCAACCTTAGCGCAATTTCAGATGTTTTCTTTGCCATTGAGACCGAGCACAATGCGAAACAAATAAGTAGCGGGATGAAACCGATTTTGGTCTCCATTTTAAAAAACTTCGCCATACTAGGAATTCTGCTAGGCAAAAAGAGTTTATGCGACTGTGACGGGGCAATGAATGAGCCGGAATTATTTGATGCATGGCCGGATGTACAAATTTAACTTATTGCTTCCGTCAAACAAAGGAGGTGACGTAGATGCATTTAAATAAGTTTTAACAATTGGGTATGGATCAAGTAATGGTAAATCAAGATTTTGCAAAACTTTTGTTAATATTTTATGATTTCTTCCAAGGTTTCAATTTTTTTACATCCATCATATGTTGTGTTTGTTCTTTGACCCGTCTAAATTGTACACAAACAACTAATTAAAAACGAATTTCGAAGTTATTATTTTTTATTTATCTGTAACCCCGGGTTTAGACTTCACGTTATCGTCACGTTCTCCTCCCAATCCGATTTTTTAATTGTCTTAGTGATATTTTTGATTAGCCAATCAAAAAATCGGATTGGGAGGAGAACGTGATGATAACGTGAAGTCTAAACCCGGCGTAATTAATTTTTATGTCAAATCTATTTAAAATGTAAAATCGAATCACAGCGTTCGTGAATCCCTTAAAAAATTTCAAAAAGGATTTCGGCATGTATATTGGAGATTGGAGGGCCTCCAAGCTCCACCACGGCCCCATACCCGTACGCAGAATACTGATTCCTACGGTATATACAATAAAATAATTTTTTTATTCACTCAATCTACAGTATGTAACAAATTTAATGCTACGATGACATAATTTTTATATCGACATGGTCGCGTAAATTTTAAAATTTGAAACTTCGCATAAAAATCTAAAAAGTATATACGGACAATTTCCTCGTCTCCGATTTTTAATATCGCACAAAGGTCAAAGGTCACCATTATTTTTGTGAACAAATTTGAGGCGTCGAAAAGCAAACTTCGTAGATAATTTTTTTTGAACTTTCTAGTATTTTTTATCGGATGCGACATGCGTTTTGAAGAAAAATGAGCTTTGGTCGGACCGTGTACGATTTTTTTGACCCCCACAGGAATTTTTCGCCAAGGACAGGTTGAAGACCTAAAATCGCCACCGCGGGGAAAATTCGAAAACTGAAATATACGTTAGCATATTGACAGTCCCGGTATGCAAACGTATATTTCAGTTTTCGAATTTTCGCCGCGGTGGCGATTTTAGGTCTTCAACCTGTCCTTGGCGAAAAATTCCTGTGGGCGTCAAAAAAATCGTACACGGTCCGACCAAAGCTCATTTTTCTTCAAAACGCATGTCGCATCCAATAAAAAATACTAGAAAGTTAAAAAAAATTATCCACGAAGTTTTTTTTCGACGCCTCAAATTTGTTAACAAAAATAATGGTGACCTTTGACCTTTGTGCGATATTAAAAATCGGCGACGAGGAAATTGTCCGTATATACTTTTTAGATTTTTATGCGAAGTTTCAAATTTTAAAATTTACGCGATCATGTCGATATAAAAATTATGTCATCGTAGCATTAAATTTGTTACATACTGTATGTGACTGTACATAACTTTATTAAGTAGCTTCAGCTACCTTATGTGAAGACTTTGTCTGTCTGTCTGTCAGTCTGTCCATCCGTCTGTCAGCAGGATAACGGGAGAACGGATCGAGATAATCGAAATCGGTTTTCGCCAACCTACATAAGACCTTAGGTGGAGGATACTTTTGGGGCCAATCGGACCACACCCCCTGGGCGCCAGGGGGTGTGGTCGGGGCAAAATGAGATTCTTCGTGCAATTGAATCTATGGATGAAATAGAGTCAAATTTTGTGTTTTCTTGTGCCACACCCCCTGGGCGCCAGGGGTGTGGTTGGGGCAAAATGAGATTTTTCAAAAAATTGAATCGATAGATGAAATACAGTTAAATTAAGTGTTCCCGAGTTGTGCCACACCCCCTCGTCGCCTAGGGGTGTGGTCGTGGCAAAATGAGATTTTCACTGAAATTGACCTTATAGATACAATTAAGGAGGGGAGCTTGCGAGGTTGATAATAACAGATCCTGATGCCCTTTGGATATGTGGTAGGGTCCTATGAGTGTACTAAAACCCTGAAGTGGTTTGACTCCATGGCCACATTTGCGCCCGCCACACCCATTCAAAAATGCTCAAAAACCGCTTTCACTCCGGTTTTCACTCACTCAAATCCACGCCAAAAATCCAATTTTGCTCGGATTTTGAAATTTCTTTCACCATTACACTCCCAGATAGTTGCTTTCTTCAATTCGATATCAAACTTAATATTTTCGAAATTATTAGTATTTTTAAAATTTAAAATTCTGAATGAGCATTGTTGTAGTAATCCACAACGCAAATTATGCCTGCGAAATAATCATCATCAAAATTGAGTTTGACATTGGATTGAAGAAAGCAACTATCTGGGAGTGTAATGGTGAAAGAAATTTCAAAATCCGAGTAAAATTGGATTTTTGGTGTGGATTTGAATGAGTGAAACCTGGAGTGAAAGCGTTTTTTGGGCATTTTTGAGTGGGTGTGGCGGGCGCAAATGTGGCCATGGAGTCAAACCACTTCAGGGTTTTAGTACACTCATAGGACCCTACCACATATCCGAAGGGCATCAGGATCTGTTATTATCAACCTCGCAAGCTCCCCTCCGAAGTGAAATTGAGTGTTTTCGCGATGTCGTGGGAGTGATTAGGGTGAAGTAGTCTGAAGCTACTTCCTTATGTGCGTATACCACGGTTTATTACTGCCCTGAGTATATTAAAGTCCGAAATTCGTGTTATCACCATCCTTACGAATATCATTTATTCAAACCATCCTGTGCAAACACTCGTGTTATTGATTACGCATTTGCCGTAATATGGGGAGATTAATCATTTAATAAATTACAGAATGAAATAAAAATGCTCGCTAATTATTTATGGTTAGGTGTATATACATATTCTAGTAACTGGAGGCATACCTATTTATATTAGTTGCTTGAATTAAAAAATAAAAATAGGGTGTTCACCAAAAGTATGGATTAGTCATAACTAAATGAGAAGTAAGAATGAATATTAACATATATGTACTTCTGGCTGCAAGAAAGTATACTTGACTATGTTAAAAGGTGAAGTAATCATCATGTCTCTCTATAAATTGCGAAGACAAAATAACTAAACTTTGCTTACATGAATGTATTTTAATTTAATAGATATACTTCCTGTGGTAACAACGGTATAAAATATGCCCATTAAATATGCCACTTTGCGTCATCACGAGATAACGACACGCTCTCCCATTCTTCTGGTATAAGGATATAATGAATTTTATTTATCTGTTGAAAACACAATGCAATCTGCTCCGATAAGCACTTTTCATTTCTCAATTGACGAATAAATCTGTTAATAACGAAGGTTGGCATCAAAAACATATTCACTTGATTCTTTCCTTCAAGCCCATCAACTTCTAGGCGAGCAGCCAATTAAGAAAATGTTTTACAACAACAAATCTTTTTTCGAAGTGACTAAATCCTCAGAAATCTTCTTCATTTTCCTCTTATCTCAATTCTTATTCACGAATGCCCAACAACTAAGGGCGGAATTCCTCAATGTCACCCTCCGATATCGGGAGTACTGTCACAAAGCATACTATAATCCTTACATAGATGGCGATACCATCTATCTAATCGGTGGTTGTTCCATTAACACTGACAAACAGATTTTGGCATTTTCCATCACAAAACGAATCAATTTCCACTGTCGGACATCTACCTGATAGGGGGGACTCAGGATCAGTACAGGGAGACTCGGGCGGAAACATTTTATACTTTGGGGGTGGTGTAGATAATAAATACGTCTACAAGTATGACCCCATAACACGATATACTACCACGGTCGCCACATTGCCATACGTTCAAGGAGTGTATCATCATACAACTGTTAAATATAATGATTCATCATCAACTTCCTTCATGTTCGGTGGAAATTACCAAGGCTACGACCTCTTAGCTTTTGACATGGAAACTTATAACTATTCCATTATTTCTAACATGACCCAACGGTATTTCAAAGCAGCCGCCATCACAGTTGGGAACAGGGCCTATATATTTGACGATTATGGATTTGGAAGGGCGGTCGAGTTAGATTTGGACACGTTTACTGAGACCCCCGTCGGTCCATCTACTCTTCCAGATTTCAATTCTGCTGCAGCTGTGTGGGATGGGGACAATGCTTCTTACATCTTTGGAGGATACCCTCCAAGTGCTGGGCGAACAGATGGGATTTTTCAGTTCAGCCCAACCAGTTACGAAAGTAGTTTCATCCCCGTAGAAAACTGGCCTTTGCAAAGCTCCAGCTATTTCATGATGGCCCCTGCTTCCGTCTTTGTCCTTAGTATGAACAGAATCTATTGTTTTGGGGGATATTCTTACAACGGGACTTCTGGTAGTGGCGAATCTCACAACTCGATTTTCTACATGGACATGACACCACTAGATGCAAGTCCAACAACTGAACAGTGGACAACAGAAGACCAAACTACCACTAACTTTCCAACTACTACGCGTTCAACAACTACAGCAGATTTCCCATCAACTACAGATATATCAACTACTACAGGGATACCAACTACCACAGAGACATCAACTACTACAGATATACCAACTACTACAGAGATACCAACTACTACAGATCTTCCAAATACGACAGACTCTCCAATTGCTACCACAACCCTCAATCCGGATTTCTTTACCTGCAGAAATCGCAGTGATGGTAAGCAAAAGCAACAATAACGAGTTCACACGCCGCTCAAATAATTTTGGACTATTAATCATGCCGTTATCAAAGAATATGAGTAGTTTAGTAGGCAAATAATTTAACCCATTCTCAAGAACAAATTTAAGTATTTGTCCTTACTCAACTGGATATGTTAAGTCAAATTACGATACCGAATAAAAAAAAACTTTCAAGGCAATACACCGCGGTGTTTACCAATTAAGGGTCGACACCTATACCAAAATGACCACAATACATGACTTATTCAACAAACTGAAGGAATTTCCGTGGAAAATCAATTTTCGTCAAGTTGTGACGATATTTGTGACGAGCGTATGACTAGCTGGAGCGCTCGGCCACTGAACGATCAGGTCAAACATGTATGTATGTTGTCTTCAGAGATTTCAAATTTTTCTAATTTTGAAAAAATTATGAAATTTTCAAAAGAGTTTTTGAAATTTTGAAAAAAATTGAATTTCTGAAGATTCTTTTTTAATTTTAAAGTTTTTAAAAATTTAGAGATGTACACATGATTTGAAATCTCTGAAGACAACACGTGTTCGACCTGATTGTTCAGCGGCCGACCTCTCCCGTTGCCAGCGGGAGTGACGAGTGTATGACCATTGGGTTGCAACCCGATGGTCATACACTCGTCGCAAATATCGCCACAACTTCACGAAAGTGATTTTACACGGAAATTCCTTGAGTTTACCTAATAAGTCATGTATGAATTGTGGTCATTTTAATATACGTGTCGACCCTTAACTCGGGATGTTCCCTTGTCAGTTTAAGTCGCGACAGTTGGTTAAAATATATTATTTAACCCTAATCATTTTCGGTAAGTAAATACGGATTTGTGGTAAAAAGTTTTAACTAAATATGATGGTTTTGGCTGCACTCGTCCCCAGTGCCCCCTGCCGTATGTGGACCTAATTTGACAAATTCCAAGTTGGTGGTAATTTCATTTAACTGGTGCATAACAAATATATGTATAATGTAATTTTGTTAAAATTATACATACATTTATTTATATGTGCAGCCTATTACTCAAACTTATTGGACTTCATGGGCGCAAAAATATTCGACAATTTAATATTTGAAGGCTTGGGTTAATATTTTAATTAATTCGTAATCTAGGAATGTACCCACATCCTGCTGACTGCTCGCAATTTATCGGATGTCGGTCTGAGGAATTAACAATTTTTCAGTGTCCTACACCCCTGCTTTTTGACCCGATCCAGAAATCTTGCCAACCGCCGGAGGAAGTGGAGTGCCGAACTTCGTGCATTGACAGACCAAATGGAGAATATCCACATCCGCACGATTGCTCACTCTTCATCATATGCCGAGATGGGGACGCTAACCTGTACAAATGCCCACCTCCACTCCTATTTGATCCGATCCTTTCCGCCTGCAACTTTCCGGATGACGTCGACTGCTACAGTGTTAAACATATTTTTGATAGGAATTAGTTTTATGAATTAAATAAGTACATAAAATTTTTAAAAAATGTCCAAAAAACATATAGTTATGTCACCCAATTATCCAAAAAGTATGAAAACAAAAGGTAAATACTAACTTGCTTTTTAGCTTTCAAGTAATGTTACACTTTAGTACATATTTAGTCACAAGTCAAGCAAGCACTAAATTTTGTTTAGGGGAAATAAGTTTACGTCCATTACAAGCATGTTTTCTGGGTAGAACGTAAAGTTCTAGACTATTAATTCACATTGTAAATTAACAAACAAAATTGCCAAATGCATTTAGTGATTTGTGTATTAACATATGGAAATAAAACCTGTTTCGAAAACAATTGGTGCATTTTACTGACAAAGTGCTATATATTGTCTACTTCATATGTACGACATTTACAGAACCTGGATAATCTTTTCGAATAACCTATCCATTAAAGAGCTTTAAATTAACCTTCTTCATAATCATCACAACTATGTACATATTTTTGCACAATATGAACAAAGTTTTCGCCAGTTGAGAACCTGCATGCACAACTGACGGCGAATCCTAATTGGCACATACAAATTCTCCCCAACCTCACAAACCATTGCTAAAACACCTAACGCGACACAAAACAAGCATAACATTAGAAACGATATAAGATTCGTAAAAGAAATATAATCCGAACTTGTGCCATCATTGCTCCCCAATTTCAAATTGTTTTCCTTGATACTATTTATTTTCGAATACAGTTCCATCACCTCCCTCAAGTCGAGCACAGACTTCCAAAATTGTTCAAATCCGTGCTGTTTAAATTGTGCAATCCTTCGCCGGAAATATTCCCTATTGTGGACTTGAAATATCGAAAAAATTGCTTGACTCAGGGCTCCCTCAAGGACAAAACATTCCACCATCTTTTTCCTTTCGGCAACATATTTTAACTCTAGTTTCAATTTTCTAGCTCGAGTTGCTATGCTTCCGTGAACGTTATTAAAACATCCAACTCTTTTAGCACGAGATTTCTCAAAAGCTTCAGAAAACGCTAGATAAAGCAGTCCATTTTGAAAAGCTGGAATTTGTAGCTTCGTAGAATTGAAATAGTTAAGGAGCCCTTGTCTCTCAAATTCCTCATGTGATTCTTCCTCCAAACTTGTAAGGGCGTTTTTCTTTTCGTCGCCAAAAATTACAACGCTTGTCTGAGTCTCCACAAATTCTTTCAAATTTTGGACTGCCTTTAATACAGAGGGTGACACCAATTCAGCTGTAAGCAGGGTCTCGTACGTCGTAAGAAGAACGATCACACTTAGCGACGTTAATGCAAATATGATCTTATTACTCTTAAGAAAATCAAGTGTTGGAGATTGTCTCAAGTAAATTGCGCTAAAATTGAAACTCGTCGAACCCACCGTGGTTCGAAGTTTGAGCTTAATTCTTTCCAAACTTAGAAAATCATCCCACTCGACGTGTCGCGACGTTTCGAACGAAATAAAAATTAGTAGCGAAATAGCGGCACCTCCCCAAACCAGCCGTGAGAAGGGGGAAAACCAGACAGAAATTGATTTTTGGGTGTGCCGCTGTACCACAAGTTCGCAATAGATTAGAGTTCTAACTTGTAATCGTTCATAACAGAGTTGCGAAATTTGGTAGAAAAAATCTGTCGGGCCAACATTATCTTCATTTGTTAACCCATTAAATGAAGTATATGGGTAGATAAATCCATCCATCTTTGACATATATTTTTCGTGGCCAGGTTTCATGCTGGTGGAAAACGTGACGGAACTATTGGTCAGATCACTAATTATCCAACTTATTCCAGCCGTCGGTTCTGCACATCCGGGCGGTAATGATAAACTTATTCTCGTTTTCCATAGATATTCCGCACAATTCATGTCGGCCTGGAAATTTCCTTGCAGTAGGACGTCAAAGTTGAGTTTTCGCCAATCTTGACGAAAATCCGACACCGTATACTTGACGACGCCGAGATGGAATCCCATGATGGAAACTAATTTTAGCGGAGTGATGCAGTAAAAACATAAAAAGTATGTTTCCTTGGGTTCTGTTATAAAAATGAGAAAGATTCTCCTCGGTCTAATCTTTTCTTTGGGTTCAAAGAATTTATGAGGATGCTCTAAAACGAGGACAACAACCGACTTGGAGTCATCGAGCCATGAGAATTCTGAGTTTTCCATGTACATGGAATACTGCATGGATTGGTAATGAATCATAGAGTGGTTTAAGCTTTGGAGATAAAAGTTGTAAACCAATTTTTCCTCTACGTGTATCGTTATAGTTGGGACGTAATTGGTTATCGGAGATTGTAGGACGTAGACACGTGGGATTAGAAGCCATGGTGGAATTAATAAAGTTTTCCATCCACGAGATTAATTTTCTGGTATCGTCCGCTCTTTTGATAATGATCGTGCAACAGTCATGCTGGTCCAAGGAGAATAAAGTTAAGAAACATGTGAAAATTAGGACTAAACGAAAATTTTGACTTATTAATTTTGTCATTATTTAAAATATTAAGAAAGAGTTTTCTTTCAGAGAACCATGTACATAAAGAATTAAAGGTTTATAACTCAAGGAAAGTAGTATATAAATTAGAAGTAGTTTGCAGAAGTTTCAATGTATTTCTAAATCCTTATGCTTAAGTTGTATCTACGTTCATACTCACAATATGAAGCGGTACTAAGGGCGATTTTTGTAATATTTTATAATTATTTCCACGAGTTTGACGACGTGTGTTACTTGGAAAACTCATTTCCTTTCTGTATTTGTATTTCCACGAACCTCACTTTCTTTATTGAGGTCCCAAACCAAAAAAATTGCTACACGATGGTTTTAATATAAAACAGAAAATGGGTTTCACCAATTGGATTGTTATATATTTTGTTAGTTTCACGTAACCGGAAAAGCTTTGGGTACATGCAAAGTTATAAACTATGTTTATTTGAAGCTTTTCGAGCATATACAAAGATTACACAAAATAAGTACATAACTCATACCTGTATGTAAAGCATATTCAGCTATTCACAAAGCAGGGTATGCTACCCCAGGTTTTTATTGTGGTTTTGGGATAGCAAATATGAACTATACCCACGGGTAGTTGGGGTTTTCACATTTGCTCCATTTAATGAAGTATGACAACAGGGCACGGTATAAATATACGCAAAGTAATCAATTATTAAATTTAAATTGCAGAATTTGTTGCCTCAATTTAGGACACCTTTCGTAAATCACAAGCTCCTTTAAAACACGTATTAAACATGTATCTAAATACTGTTAATTTATGTGTTACAAATAATTAAACTGAGATAAACGACTTGAAATATGGAAAAATTACAGTTCAGTGGACTAGCTCGGATGTGGCTGAAATTCTTTGTGTGAATACCCTATTGTCCCCTGAGCAAGAAAATACCTTTTTTTCGCGGCGGTCTCAAAAACTGAAATTTCTAGAAACTTTTGAAATGTTTTATAAAAATATGTTTTTGCCCTAGATTTTCGTGAAAATGAGTTTCTAGACTAATTAAAGTATCCTGAATAAGAATCTGAAGGAATTTTTATAAAACATTCAATAGCAAAAAAGTTATAAATCTTTGAAATTTTCTATACAAATTGTTCTTCGACCTTTCAGAGAATTCCAAAACTTTGTCTCACTTTCCCCCTGTCAGGAATTTTTTGGGGTAACATCAAATTTTCGGGGTAAGATGAGATTTCTAGTTTCCGGCTATCCTAGGTAGCACTATTACCTAGCTCTCCTAGGTAGCACTACTACCTAGCTCTCCTAGGTAGCACTACTACCTAGCTCTCCTAGGTAGCACTACTACCTAGCTCTCCTAGGTAGCACTACTACCTAGCTCTCCTAGGTAGCACTACTACCTAGCTCTCCTAGGTAGCACTACTACCTAGCTCTCCTAGGTAGCACTACTACCTAGCTCTGCTAGGTAGCACTACTACCTAGCTCTCCTAGGTAGCACTACTACCTAGCTCTGCTAGGAAGCACTACTACCTAGCTCTCCTAGGTAGCACTACTACCTAGCTCTGCTAGGAAGCACTACTACCTAGCTCTGCTAGGAAGCACTACTACCTAGCTCTCCTAGGTAGCACAGCTAACCTTTACTTTACCTTTACTTTACCCGCGGAATTAAATAATCAGAATTTATTGCCCGTAAGCTTACACTTTAGCTTAAACGTTTACTTACTTATATATGTATTTCAGAGGAAAGTTTAATCTAAATAAAAAAAACAACGCGGTTGAATTAACTTTAACGGTTACAAATAGGCTTTATGATAATAAATACTTCATTAATTAAATAATACTCAATGACTCCAGTACTGTGACTCTTACCACGGCAGAATTTAACGGGGCAAAGAGATTGTATTGATGTCGATTGTGAATAGAAATTTGCGTTGGCATTTTGACATTTATCAATCGACTAATATGAAAACTTAAGTGTATGTTGTAGAAATATGTAAGTATTTGGAAAACTTTATTTTCTAAACCGAAAATACTGGAAATTTTGACACATTGTTTAAGCATTTTGAATTTAACGATATAGGTATTGGCCATCACGTGGTCGCTGTGTGAGGACTTGCACCCAAACTTTTCTCCAATTGTCAATTTTAATTATAAAGCATAATTATCCTAATTCGATTGATTGATTAATTACACCTTTCTGTTAGCGGTGTCCAATGAGTCATTTTATTGAACCCAGATCGAAACCTTTTCTACTTTGACCATTATGTTAAGTCAGTTAAGTATGTTATCCAGCACGTGTCCATTCATCAATTTCTTGTCAAATTGTGAACTGATGTCAGTCAAGCGAACTAATTTGATAAGTACACGAACTCATCTATAACCGACGTTAATTCCGAGGTGCTAAGCATTTTAATGAACGATCTGAAAACGTTTTGAAAAAATGTAAATTTCCATGGAAAGCATTTTGATGAATAATTTCCGTAACATTTTTCCACGTACCCTCCAATGCAATAACTTAGCAGAATATGTTTCTAGTACCTAATTTTATGTGCTCAATTTCCGATATAAAAATCAGCCGAATCTTAAACCCTACTCATTAGCAACAAAGTACTGGAGCAATTCACTCAAAAATGGCAAGACTCGGCCTTCTAGAAATTTTCCTCCTGGTGGCTGTCTTCTCTGCACTTGCAGAAAAACCGGACTGGGTGGCTTTTAAGGTTTGAGTATATATCTAATACATAAACAAGAAGAACGGGTACAATGCATGAATTTATCTGCAATGTTTTAAATTCCCGAAAATATAGAACCGACATAAAAAGGAGTATAAGAATGCCGAAAAAGAAGCAAAAGCAAAGGCACATTTCGACAAAAATTCGGCA